AGAAGAGGAAGAAGAAGAACGTACTGGTTACTGCATCAATCAAAAGAACTTATTCTGCATAAAAAAAAAGGAAAAAAAAAAAAGAAGAAGGAAGAACTTAGGCCTAACATAACTTAATATTGACAAGCAGCAATGCCTATATGTCCCATGTTTTACAAGTACAATTAGTTTTACAACAAATGCTATTGTGTAATTCAAGATATATTGAATGGTAAAATATTAATTATTAAAATAAAAAAATTTTAATATTAAAAATCTTTTAATACAAGTACATTGGCTCTGTCGTTGCTCTCTCACCTTCGTGTCGTCGACCACTCAAACCTCTTCTTGATAGCAGGTTCTCAATCGCACGCGTCTACCCGACTTTTCATCATCTCTCTCGATAGTAGGTTCTCGATCTAAATTCTAATCTTTTCATTCATGTTCCTTCTTTCATTTTGCCTTGTATTGATTTGGTATTCTGTTGTTCTTGTTATTTTCTCATTCTCCCGTGTGATTTGGTTTCATGAGTAGTTGCCCAATCTTTTGGATTAAAAACCCAGTAGTTTTGTGCTTAAACCCAGTATTTTTGGATTCAAATTTTTATTGATTTGCATATGACTACCTCCTAGATCAACTCTCGCAGTTTCAATTCTGTATTTGGGTCAGATCCATGATGTTGTAATCATGGATTCTTTTCCTTTTTTATATATCTATTATTAGAGTGACTTCAATGGCAATTTTTTTTTTCTTGGTTTCTTTTCATGTCATTGATTTCATTTGATGTTCATGAAGATGTCCAATGTTAATTTGATCATATTAATTTTTGAATCTCTAAACAAGTTTTGGTTTTGGTGATTTGAAGAATGGGGTTTTGAACTGTTGTTATTTTCTATAAATTTCTACATTTATATATGCTATATTTGGATGATGTGATGTAATGGAGTTTTAATGAAGTGAGTTAAATGCAATGAGCTTTTTTGAAAATTTTATGCAATTTTATGTGTATGGTGGATGAATAGTGTGTTTTGAATGAAGATTTGACAAGTGGGTATTTTCATGTCTGTATTAGGATAAAAGGAGGGCAAATCAGAATAAGATCTAGGGGTAAAGAGTTGTCTCTGTGCTGCTCTACTCTTGTGATAGTGCTACACCTGATTCCTGATATAAGACAGAAACATGAGCTGCTTAGCTTGATTTTTTTACAAGTTATCTTCTTTATTAACTGATGTAGATCACTGAAGAAAGAAGGAGGATTGGGTGCAATCTAACCTCTTACTTGATAGTTTGGGTTTCTGTCATGGCAACTGTAGAAATGTTGTCTGCATCCTTGAGACTTCTGTCTTCAGTTAGGATTTTCTCAACATTACTGCTTCCATCGACCTTTTGGATTTCCACTAACTTTTGTTTACCAAAAAAAAAGGGATTCAACTTATGGGAAGAGACTAGTGAGAAAAGAGCAAGATGAATAAAGTTAATTCCTCCTTACTTACCTCTTCAATTTGAATATCTTTTGCTATGGTTTTCAATGTTGCATTGGTCTCCTTAGCACCTAAAAATCCATCCTTTAGTTGATCTTCTCAGTTCGCTAGCTTTCATTGTTTTAAATACATGAATGGTATGTTAGTGGAGGTCATTGTTCCTTTTTTTCTTATCCAATTTGTTTGTCTTAAGGTAATTTAAATAATGTTTTAAAAGATTAAAATTGTTAACTTTGACTTTATTAAATTTAAATAATAATTAGAAGAAGATGATTTATTAGAGAAATTCAATTTTAAATACATATTATTTTAAAATATCCAAACTATGTATTTAAAAATACATGTATTTAAAATTCATTTTTTTAATTCAATCCAAACAATGTATTTTAAAATACATATATTTTAATTACACTTTTCACAATCAAATTCAAGTGTCCAAACACAACCTAAATGAAAAAATATGCAATTCGATTTCAAATTAATCAGGTTTAATATGTCTTTCAGATACCAAAAGATTAATACAAAAAAATTTTATAATTACAATATCATTTATATAAAGTTATAAATTCACAATTTTAATATATTATTATATAATTAATTTTTTAAAAATTATTTTTA